CTTCCAATACAAGTTTTTTTTTAAGTTACATGATGTGGTGAAATCAGTCAAAATAATATACAAAATATCAAAACTAGCTGTTTTTGACAACATTTTTGGCTCTAGATATCCTCATACTGTAATTACCAAATAACTGTACTGTACTGTAGAAAGGCAAAGCAAATCTGTAAAATTTAAAAAAAACATGTTTTTTATTATTATTTTTTATTGCCTGGTAGCTTTTCAATTCAACGTACATGTCCCTCTGCATTAGGCATATGGTCCTTGGATCTTTGTCCTTTTCCACTTGTACTAGCAGTGTCGAGTTGTGAAATGTCATGACAAAATGATTGGAGGTCACTTCGATATATTGAAAAAAAAATATTTTATATGACAACAATATAAATTTACTGTTTTTGATAAATTTGACTAATTTCATTTATGGTCACATAAGCAAAGAAAAGTTCCATCATAACAATTTTGGGTCTCTGAATCTACTTGCAATAAAAAAAAAAAAAGAGAGAGAAATCATGATACATACAGCAAATCCTGTATAAAGCGATGTCGAATTCCATATTTCTGTACAAGTTAATTTTGCTTTGCTTTTATTTTACTTTTCTATTTGCTGGGCCTTGATCATTGAACAGCATATGCATTCCAGCATACATTTTATCACTTAACAGTGTTTTGTGATTAGCAGAATTTATCTGGAATAGTCTTATTTATTTTTATATGAACATCTGCCTTGTGTGTCTGATGCATGCTCAATATGATTTAACAAATTTAAAAATATTTAACTTACAAGTCATGTCCACAATTCTCCACCATGAAGGCAACTACTATGTTTATGAGCGTTCTTCTGTTACAATTTGTTGGCATCTGTTCACTTTTGAGGTCCTTCAATACAGCAGCTCCTTTCACATGATTGCTCAAAATATCATGAATATTGAAATCCTTAATTAATAAATCACAATTTATGAATTTTTACAGTTATATGATAAAGAACTATTGTGGATAAATAGAACATTGTTACTTTTAAAAAAAAGGTTCACTGAATAATCTCAGATAAGATTGTATAATAAAACATACTCAAATATTTAAATGCATGCATTTCAATACGTGAAGTACTATGTATTATACTATGTTTAATATTGTTACTTTTTCAATTAAAAACTGGCGAAAAATTCAATTTTCATCCTTCACTGACACCACTTGCTCCTATCTCCCAGATGATTTAAAACTCCTCTCAGTTATCCTACAGAAGTGAGCAATTTGAGGTGTCACAAACTTTACAGCGAAGGGTAATAATAATTTTAAACCATTATAACCAAAATTCCCTATATATAGTCATAGCTTGCTGTGACATTAAATGCTTCCTAGCCCTATCTCACAAGTAACAATTAAACTTATAAGCACTGCACCATGGCCTACACCAAAATTGAAATTTGTTTTGATTTTGCTTAATACATAAACTTGGCCTGGTCCACTTTGGGTAGCTGCCACTTGATCTTGTACACAAACTTGTTGCCTTTCGTAGTGCTGGAGTACATATTTGCCTGTCAGTAAAATCAGATTGATCAGATTGCTGGGCAAGTCCTTGTGAATTTTCCCACTCCATGTCTACAGCATTATCTGTAGAAAAGAAATATGAAACTATATATTAACTCAATTATAGCAAACATTAAATTTAACTTACAATTTGCACTGTTTTGCAAACAACCTCATGTGATATTCAATAATGTGGATCAAGTAGACTGTGAGTAGTAGTAGGCAAGAATTTTATTACTGTAGTACTCCGATGAACTAGGCAATTTTTTTTACAATTTTAAACAGGGAATTTACTAACATGAAAATCATGGAAAGTTGCATAAAACAGCCACATTTAATATTAAAAATTATGCTATTTTAGTATTTATTAATATTTTGCAATTGTCAGGTGCTGTATTTACTAATGTTATTACTGATTTTATCTATGACTCCTTACTGCATCTGGAAAAAGTTCTTTCGTTTTCAATGTTCCATTGGTTGTCAATAAATTATTCTGAGTCTAATTCCATAATTGTTGATGAAATACCCTAGGACCAAGTCTTTCTGAGTGTCCGGCAAGCACATGGCTATATATTACGGCCTAGGGCCAGGCTAGTGGCCTATATAGGCTATCGCCTGGCCTAGGCCTAGGCTAGTCTAAAAAAAAAGCCGCCGTAGCACCACACGCCGGCCAGGCCCTGTAGGCCTATGTGTATTTGTCACTCCTCACTCACTCACACAGTCGCATCACACTCAGTCACGGTGAAAACCTTTTATGTTGACTTAAAATTAAAGTTTAAAATTACCTTCAAATATTTGCTGTATTTCTGGGCCAAAATGGTTATCAGTTATGAAGCCATGGACACTGGCAAATGCTACGTCTTCCAAAAGCTCATCCATTATTAACGACATGCGGCCAGCAAAATGGAAGGCAAGAGAATCATCGAAAGAGGCGCGAATCGTCTGTCATGTTGGAAACCAACTTCTGAATGGTTGGGATACAGAGAATGATAATTTCTGATTGGTCAAAGTTTCATAATTATTTGGGCACTTCTTCTGTCGAGTGATTAAAAGCCATTGCTGGACCGGACAAAAGAGTGAGTTGTCACTCGTATGGAGCGAAAGTTATTTCACTCTCGATTTTGAGTGAGTTGTTCACTCTTTTGCATTTAGAGAGTAAAAACGTTAAATATGTGATATTCGCAATGCGATCAAAATGATGGAATATTCTTACTTTCTAAGGAGCTGGAGAAATTGAATTGTATAGTTATTAAGGGACATTAAGAAATTTTGATTTCATTTACCACTATTTTGTATTTGCAATTGACAATATTGCTTTTTCTTCAAAATAAATAAAATGATTGATGTGTTAAAATGAAATAAACGTTTTGTTTAATCATTGCAGTAAAAATATTTTGTACTCTACGTGCAATTGAAAAGTTTTATTTTCAGAAAAGGAGTAATTTGTTGAAATGTACACCTAGCTCATGGTCATCGACTCAGCCAATATTCAAACCAGAGTTTGAAGCCAAGTCAGAAATGTGTGGCCTTCATATTTGTTCTCTCTGGGCCATGTCAGCTAAACCATACAGGCTCCCATATGGGCAAACCAATATGCCATCCATATGAACGAGAAAATATGGCCCTCACATATAGGACACCTATATACCACCCATGTGCAGTTGATGGGTACCATGTTTGTCCCACATGGGGATCTGCCACTTTGGTGGAGAATACGAGGGGCCCATATGGGCAAACCCATATTACATACATATGGGCAAACCCATATTACATCCATATGGGCCAGAAAATAAGGGGCCCCATATACAGTACCACCCATGTGCAATTGCATATGGGTACCATGTGAGAATCCCATATGCCACCCATGTACAAATGCATAAGGGTACCATTTTGGCCTCATATGGGTTCTCTGAAACATGTGGGCCCTACAGAATGCAGAATCCGGAGGTTGCCTTAAGGGCTAGTCCATACATACCCATGGGTTGGGAAATATAGGTTCCATATGGTCCGCAAATGGGTTATACCTGCGCTATGGGTTAAACCACATGGGCCCCACATGGGGCTTGGGTGCAGAATCTGGAGGTTTCCTCAAGTATAGGCCATATGGTACCCATGTAAAAATGCATGTGGGTACCATATTGGTCCCAAATGAGTAACATCTGGGATATGGGATAATTCAGATGGGCCCACACGGATCTTGGTTGCAGAATCTGGAGGTTTCCTCAAGGATAGCACATATGGTACCCATATGGGTCAGAAAATATAGGTCCCATATGGGAAACCCATGTAAAAATGCGTATGGGTTCCATATGGGCCCCAAATGGGTTATATCTGGACTATGGGCTAAATCAGATGGGCCCCACATGGATCTTGGGTGCATATAATCCGGAGGTTTCCTCAATGATAGCACATGGTACCCATATGGGTCAGAAAATATAGGTCCCATATGGGAAACCTATATGCCACCCATATACAAAATAATGTGGGTTCCATGTGGGCCCCAAATGAATTATATCTGGGCTATGTTGGCTAAATCATATGGGTCCCACATGGAACTTGGGTGCAGTTTCCGGAGGCTTCCTCAAGGATTGCACATATGGTACCCATATAGATCTGCATATGGGCACCATATGGGTCCCTTATGGGCTTGTTACCTGGGTAGTTTGCACATGGCTATATAATACGGCCTAGGACCAGGCTAGTGGCCTATATAGGCTAGCCTGGCCTAGGCCTAGGCTAGGCTATAAAAAAAAAAGCCGCCGTAGCACCACACGCCGGCCAGGCCCTGTATGTGTAGTTGTCACTCCTCACTCACTCACACAGTCGCATCACACTCAGTCACGGTGAAAACCTTTTATGTTGACTTAAAATTAAAGTTTAAAATTACCTTTAAATATTTGCTGTATTTCTGGGCCAAAATGGGTTATATCTGGGCTATGTGGGCTAAATCATATGGGTCCCACATGGAACTTGGGTGCAGTTTCCGGAGGTTTCCTCAAGGATTGCACATATGGTACCCATATAGATCTGCATATGGGCACCATATGGGTCCCTTATGGGCTTGTTACCTGGGTAGTTTTCCCTACTTTGCTATGGACAATTAATAATTATGATGATAAAGAAGATAATGATGATGATGAGGAGGAACCTGTGCAAGATTAATTAACAGGCCCTTTGATGTGAAGTGTCAAGCGAGACCCGTAGCCTAAGTTACGGTTGGGAATTTGGAGACATTATCGTCGTCGTCAAATGTTCAATGCAACACGGACAATAGATGATTTATGATATCTGTTTTGTTAAAGAAAGTAATAAAAAATAAAGACATTTATCTGTCTGTGGAAAATATAACATATGAATCATACAAAATAAAAAGAATTCAAATAAAATAAAAATATGTAAAAAACATCTACACTAATTCAAAATGGAATATTCACTGCCTGTTGAAAACCAGTTTTAGTATTGCAGGGTTTCTGAATGCTTTACAGTACAACCAATAATCGTATTTCTGATAGATTGCTGATTAAAATGTACAATATTTACTATTTTATATTCAGTACATTCTCAAATGTTATGTAAAATGTTGTTAAATATATATAGTATAATAGATAATTTTGTCTGTTAATTTCTGCAGATATTCAAATTTTTGGAAATTACGTTTTATGCATGCACCGACATGAGAACTTTAACCTAACTTTGATATGTATATGTTTTATGTTGTTTGTTGAATAGACTTCTTTAATACTAATATTAGTCTAATATGACCACAACATAAGGAAGTTCCCTCTGTAAATGTTTAACACAATATTGTACAGAGAATTTCGATTGTTTATCAATATCATCATGTTAGATTCAAATCACGTTTTATGCAAGCACCGACGAGGAAAGATTGAACATAATAATTTGATATGTACCGGTACATGTTTTCTGTTATGTGTTGATTGGTCTTAGTTAATAATATTACAGTTTAATGGCTTAATGTTATTATTATTACAGTTTAATGGTTTACAATAATATTACAGTTTAATGGCCCCGGAACCCTGTACCCTTACCTGGGGCCCTTGGCGTCCCCCTAGCCCCATCATCAGTGCTCGCGCTTCGCTCGCAACCTGATCACTTCAATTCTCGTGGCTACGGCCCTGACATGTCATACAATACCGTACTGTCCTTGAGCCAATAGAAATTCTTTCCTTATTATTATTATTAGGCCTATTATTATTATTTGGTGCTTACACCTAGTTTATTTGCGCATTATAAATTGACTTATTATTATTATTATTATTATAAAACATAGATTTTTTTCTCATTTTCTAACGAACATTACAGGTTCCCTTTTTGAGTTGAGCAACCAAATGTTGATTGACGTCTGTATACGTGCGTCTGTAAAGTTTCATTGAAACCCACCCTCGAGCATGAAAAAAATCGCCTGCATTCGTGAATTCTGTATGTAGGCGTATGATGAGAGGTAGACACTCTTAATGGAGCGACGTTCTAGTTATCTTTATGCTAACCACGAAGATGTAAACCTTAAAACTACTGTAATATAACCACATTTAAACTCCATCTAATTTAACGAAAACAATAAGATACCTAATGAGGCCATTTTATAAAATAAAGTTTTCTGAAGGTTAACTACAGAATTTACAGTACACTTAATGTGTTATAGGTTGTAAAAAAAATCTTTCGAATAAAAAATCTTTCGCTTGACATTAGGAATTAATCATTTGTGAAACAAAATGATAGGCTATGTTAAGTGTTATATTGAACAGTGGCAGATTCAATGGGGAACCGAATCAGCACGGGACCCCATCCTCCTATTTTTTTTTTTTTTTCAAAATTTAAAAAAAAAAAAAAAAAATGGAGAAAACAGACAAAATTGTATTCAATTTTTATTCCGAGAGTGCCATTTCCGGCCATCTAGAGGTGCCATAATCATACTTTTTTCTTACCTGAGCCCTAACAGTTGTGGGGCTAAGGCGGGGTTGGACATTCTATTTGCGCAAGAATCTCCATGGAACCCCTCTATTTCGACTTCCTGGACCCGCCACGGTTGGAGTATCATGATTTCCGGGCTACATAGAAGGGTAATTTTTATCCATCAGGGGAAAAGTGAAGTTTTCGACAGGGAACCCATATCAAGGATAACCCTCATGATAAATAATCCATTGAGGTCGTGGAAGCAATCGCGACTTCGACTTTGTTCGGAAACCTGTGGCGCGTTCAAGGGAGGTGGGGGGAGGTAAATTGTTCAATTGTTTTTTTTTTAATGGAGATATAAGGGAAATTATATTCAAATTTTAAGTCTGAGAGTGTAAATTCCGGCCATCTAGAGGTGCCATAATCACACATTTTCTTACCCCAACCATGGTGGGACTGAGGTGGTATAGATTCTCCATCTGCTGGAGAACCCAGTGGCGGATTCAAGGGACCCAGCAGGCCCGCCCCTACCCCGCTAAATTGTTCAATAAAAAATGGAAATATAAAGATAATCATAATCATATTCAAATTTTATGTCTGGAAGTGCAATCCAACCATGGTGGGGCTGAGGTAGTATAGATCTTCTATCTGTGAAAGTACCCCCCACCCCGGGCCCTTCTATTTCCAATTCCAGGATCTGCCACTAAATTACAACAAATATGAAATCATATTACAGTAGCTTGATGCCTATAAAATAACTTATAAAATTTACGAAACTTCGTAAAAATATCCGTAGCTTCCAGGGGCCCCTGGAAGCTACGGATATTTACCGGCAGCCCTTAGTGGCCCCCTGCCCCCCCCAGCCTAGATGCTCGCTTCGCCCG